CGCATTAAAGTATTTTTAAAAGAGGAAGAAGTATAAGAGAGATTAATAAAAGTTAGTCTGTTATGCATGGATTTTTTTTTTTAAAGAATTGCGAATGAAGGTGCATGAAACATTCGGTAAAGAATCATCCGCTTGTATTGAGTAGGAACGGTATGCTTAAATGTTTTACTCTCGTCATGTGTATGATGTTGGAACTGCGAAACTATAATCATTTATTTACACTGTTATTTTTATAGATTTGTTATAACTAAGGAAAAGTCGTATTATGAACAATGTGGTGAAAGAAATCTCGAACGCGCTACATATTTCAACATGTTATTAAGTATCTTTTCTCCGAGCATCGATTATTAATAACGAAAGTTGAAATATTTAATCCCTATTCAATACAATAGATAGATCTTTGCCGAATATTTTATGTCTTCCTTTATTTGCGATGTTTTGAAGATAATGTTCATACTAAATTAATTCCTAAGCATCCTTTATTTTTATCTAGCCGTAATTTGCAATTAACATAACACGTATTGATTTTGCATGCCTTCTCTTTTAAAAATGATATTTAAAAAATGATTTTATATATATATATATATACTGAAATATCTAAAAGTTCAGCTAAATACATATCTAAAAGTTATTTTATTGGACTATTAAAATAATGATGTACGGCTCAAGCATGGTTGCTAAAATGTTAAAATTTTTTGCAGCATTGCTCTTTATGCTTAAGTTTCCTGTAATTATTTTCCGTAATTATTTTGCTGCCCCAACAAAATTATTTTCAAATTTGTATTTAGTTAAATTATTAAACATTTCAACAAAGTTGTTTTTTTTTTGTATTGAAATGTTGAAAAGAAGCAAAATATTTAAACTGACATAACGTTATATCAAATATGAAGTATCTCGGAACACAGATTGTACTATATGTTTAATTAAAAGTTTTTATTTTTATTAAGTCGATATTTTAATTATTTTTATTACTTTACTTATAATTATTAAATTTACTATATTTAAAAAAAAAACGAGTTATTTAAAACTAATCAAAAAATAATCTGTTTACATTTTAAAAAGTTACACCATCAAAATTTTTTAGTTCAAAATTCTGAGAAAATCTCGGATAGTTTTACTATTTAATCAATATACTGATGTTTTTCATTGGGAAAAAGCTGATTGTTTCGAAAAAAAATAGTTGACAGATAACCCAATATTTCTGGGGTATCATAAAAGATATTATATTTGTTAACGAGATGTTTACATCCATATCGTTTGTCTCGTCAGTGTAACTACAATACACTACAAATAACATAAAAAGCGGCTGCGAACAATTTTCTATTTGTGTACTATACGTTCTCAATTTACAAGTTGCGTAATTGTTGACATGAGAGTTTTAAATTTTGACATTTTGGCATTTTTTTTGCATATGGGAATCAATTATCGCACACGACGACGTGGAGAAAGAGGTCAGAGAAAAGGAGATCCTAACTCTTTTGTCGACCGATAAGAAGGTGGTTAAGGCCGATTAAAAAAGCCCGGAAGAATTCTGGGGAGAAAGAACAGGGATTCTGGAAGATTTAATACTAGATAGGATTGAGCGGTGTGGACAGGTTGTAGCGGTCCTAAAAGGGGGCGGAAATTTGTATCTTGTCATCCTTGAGGTCGTATGCATATCTAACGGCCGCGGTACGCAACAACCGTGCCCGAGGGACGTGTAAATTTTAACGGCTCGCCGACAAGATGGTGGGCGTGTTTCTATCTGGCTCGTGTCCCGTCCACTTGTCGTCCACCGTGCTCCCAAGTCTGCGAAATTGTTCCTCCAGGTAATTACTCCGCGTTGAAATCGTTTTCGCGTGTGACCGCCCGTTTTTCGTCGCGAGACAAAATGAGAATCTCGCGCGAAAATGCAATTCGCGAAAATGTATGCGTGTAGCTCGTTCATTTGACTCGGGGCAGTTTGTATACACGACAAAAACGTATACTTTGCATAAATAATATTCTCGGGACAACGAAACTATATAGAATATAGGTATGCGCAATGCGGCTTTTATGTAGTACACAATAGTACATAATAATGCATATGGAGTGTTAAGAAAGCGCGAGATTGTAAAGAATTCTGCCATCGAAAATTGCGGATTGCAAATAATTGTACTTGAAAAAAGAGTCTGGTTGCATTGAAATTCTACTTGAAAATGGGTAAAGCAAAATTTTCTGATTGAATTTATTATAATTTCAGTTGAGATAACCAGAATTTCAACCAGAAATTTTTTATATTGTTAGTATAAGACCCGATTTCTCTGATTAATTTGTGGTTTAAAATTAACCTCATCTCTGGTTAACTTGATATAAAAACATTTTTCTAGCGAATCTACGATTAATCACTAAATTTATAATTTTGCAGTGATAATTTTAAATTCACTACAAACTATCAATTTAATAATAAACTATAGTTAGAAAAATATAATCTTTTTATATATTATTATCAGGATAAGTTTAGTCACAAAGTTGATCGCAGAAAATGAAGACTGGGCACAAAAGTAACAGAAAATAAGTATAAATAACAACAAAAAATCTCAGTATCATGTTTTACTGATATTTTACTCTTGTACTAATACTTGTTATTTATTTTGCAAGCAACATATTCGTAATTTGCATATTTCGACAGCATCAAATGAGCAACAAATTCCTACATTATTTTTACGTCGATCGGTTTTATTCTATGTATCTATATATTGCTCCGCTAACTTAATCTTCCTTTAGCGGAACATTATTTAAAAAAAGACTAATAAAGCAACAAATTTTTTTCTTTGGTAACTTGTTAGCAACAAATAAAAATATTAGTTAAAATCGAGTCTGCTCACTTTGCTCCGCTAACTTACAAGACGTTATAAATTGATGTTTCGGCTGCTTGATTAAACTCTCTTCAGGAATATAAAATTCTTGCGATAAAAAACTGCTTCATTGTGTGAGAAATTACAAGACATTAATCCCAGAGCCGAAATTGTTTTTTCCGTATACTATACAATCTAAGTACAAAATAACAATCTTAGAATACCTTGACCTTTTCCTATGTCTAAATCTTGTTAAAAATAAAATCAGACTGTGAATTCTACTATAGAGGAGAAAATAAACGCAAGGGAGTTAATGCGACTGGTCTCATCATCCTCTGCTCGATTTCATCTGATAGACTGGGTTACGACAATCATAAAGTTCAAAGCTGTGTAACTGTATCACCGGCGAAGCGTACGTTTGTTGGGTATCGTTTGGTCTCGTATTCGCCGGTATTAAATAACGCTCATTGCACTTTTGCGACCGCGAGAAAAGGGATATTATAGAGCCGGCGAGACAGCAATTGCTCATTTCGCGTTTACGATCGGGAGGTGAAGATCTTCGCGACGAGGGAGGGGGCGATTTTATCCTCGAGCTTTTCACCAGTGTAGACTTGGGGCATGGTCCTTCTCCTTTAGGCGACACAATGAGCTATTGTTTCCATTGAAAACGACACCGCCGTGCCTCGCCCAAGATATTAATCGGGGCGAAACTCTGGCACGGATCAAGCGGTATTATGGCGGTCGCGTGTGCGTGCGTACGTGAGACCGCCGTCCGATTGAATCGTAAATTATCCCGCGGCGAATTATTCATGGCGCGCGTTTTCGTTTCGGTAGGCTGCGTAATAATCCAGCCGCCCGTTTTGCAGCGCGTCAATTTTTAATGCCGTCTCGGCTTTTCGCGCAAGATTTGTCACCGCGCTATCCCTGCGCAAATACATCCACGATGCGATCATTAATCATGAACAGCTCGATAGAATTATTCACTAGTCTCTCCATGCAGTCGGTAAAAGCCGATCGGCAGTGAAGCCGCGAGTGCGAAATGGATTGGTTTTAACGAGTGGCTGATCTCTCTATTTTGATGTACGATTATATCTTGGTTGTGTGGCTACGACGATGTCGATTAGCAGTTCGTAGCTTATTAACTTTTTCTCTGCAATCTGGATCTTTTTTGGTACAAACGAAATTTCACCCTCAAATTTCACTCTCATTTTTGCTCAAATTTAAATTTTTATTAACCCTTTGTGAACCGACGACTTTATTTCGGATCACTCTTTTTTATTTTACAAATAGCTTGCTCGATTTTTATGAAACTTGACCTATGGGATAATTTGGTAATGCTTTACTCGAATTTACTCAGGTCAAAAATATAAAATTCAAAAGGACAGAATGTTTTAATAAATGATACAACTTGGTTTCAGAGAGTTTTTAATTGCGAAGTAACATCAAGTTCCCAATTTTGCTTTATTTGAAGTTCATCAAAGCTTCGCCAAATAGTTAATATTGGTTTTCAAGTTGACTTTCAAACTTTGATGGTAAGCCTCGTGATTCTCTTTCATGAAGGTTATTACCTTCTTGAAATCAATATTTTTAGACTACATTCGAACTTAGATACCAAAACTATCTTAAAATTGTGTTTTACGATAATCAGATTATTTTTTGAAATTTAAATTTTGGAATTCTGAGCCCCACATACACATAAATCGAATTCAGTGACTTTGAAAACAAGATCTTTCACAAGTTACTTTGTTAGAAAGCGCGCGCGCTTCAAAGGGGGTTAAATAAAGATTTTTAATATTCATATCAAAAACTAATTGATATATTTTATATAATGTAATACAGATGTTGAAAAGTAATCCTGAATTTTTTTTTTAAAGTCTAGAATAATAAAAATCTTGGACTGAACAAAAAATTACATTACTGTCCTAAGCTTTAAATAAATTGCATTTCCAAATAATTTTTTAACTAAAATGTTAAAATTTTTATTTAATTTTTTATTTAATAAACATTGAAAAATATGAGCAAAAATGAGAGTGAGATTTGGGAATGACATTTAACTTGTGTTAAAAAATAAAAAATTCAGATTGCAGACGAAAAAAGTAAAAATAATATAATTGCAAATGGAAAGTTAACATTTGCAATGTAATAAATTTTTCCGTAATTAACTACTATATTTTTTATTTGCAGGAGGGATCTCGCGGTGATCGGAAAGAGGGGGGCAAGAGGGGACGCAAGCCTGGCAGGAAGGCGGCGGCGGACAAGGCGGACATGAAAGCTAAGCTCGGTAAGTAGCTACGTGAAGGATACTTGTTGACATCTCCTAGACACCTGCTGCTTCAACATTTCGCGACCTTGCCATCGTTATAATGCTTCCAATAACACGATTTTATCGATGATAGATTGCTTACTTTGGTTGCAACTTGAATTGAAATTGTTCTACACTACTACGAAATTGTGCGACAATACACAATTGATTGTTTTTCCAATTAGATTAATGAAATAATTTGGAATCACACAACAAGTAATTAAGTAATTCTAATTAAAATTCATTAAATAATGCATAAATATGAATTATATCAATGGTTTGTCATCGTTGCTCATTATAATCATTATCTAATAATTATAAAATAAAACGAAGTTATTGTAGTGAATCGCTCCAGTAGTGTAACATATGTTAATTTATTCAATCAAAATTGTAATAAAAATATAATTATTTGAATGACTGAGGTAAATTAACTGTGACTGTGACTGACATTTTTTATGATTTATTGTTTGATAATAATTGGATATTGATTAGTATTTTATTATAAATTATAGGCTATTGATTATTTAAAATACAATCGCAATCAATTATCGATTCGATTAGATTTTGCCCACCATTGTTGCCGATGCTTTAATTAGTTATACAGACAATAATACTAATTATAATCTAATAATTTATACTAATTACAATGTAATAAGTGAACTTTTCGGTGTTATGCTGATTGATTTGTAGATATACAATAATCTATATGTATGACTTGGTTGTAATTGGAAATTATTATTTTAATATATAACAATATGCTATATATTATATACAATTTCGATAGAATTGTCTGTTTGAAAAAATACCTTTCGTAATTCTGAGTGGCAAAAATGCAGGATGACAAAAAGCTTGGCCACAAAGTTTTGTTTTCGTCAAATTATTATATTTACTAAGTTATGAACTGATATTATTTGTCATTTTTCCGTTAAAGTTAAAGACATTATCGCCATCAAATGTTTGATTTTTTTTCTTTAATTGTTTTCTTCAATTTTACAGAATATAATAATTTATACTCAATATATTATATGTACATTATAAATTATTATCACGTACAAAGTGATAAAAAAATTTGTATAATAAAATTTTGTACATTTATCAAATCATTACTCAAGTATCAAGGTGACGTTATTTATCGTCATTTTCACGTTAAAATAACGTGAAAAAGACATTAAAGACATCAGCTTGCTATTTGGGTAATAACGTATATTAAACAAACTTCTGAAGCGTTAGTTACATCTTAAATACCAAAAATTTGGGTCAAAATATTTTCATCGAATGATGAACTAAAGGCCGCTTTATTGATTTACAATTAGTAGGAGAATTTACAAACATTAAAAAGTTTTTTCTCAGTATGTTTTAATTCTTCAACGCCTCTTTAATCCAGATACGAAAACTCGCGTGAAATAGAGAGATGCGTGTTCTAGAAGACAATAAAACAAACGTGGCCAGCAGATATCAGCCATTTGCTGCACTGATTTTACGCGCGATACTATAGCGTGTCGACGTCCACCACGTTTCTTGATTAAAACGTTTAGTAACTGCAACAGCACGTCTTTCACGCGAAGAGGGAATCACGTATCTACTGATTGTAGGTATACATCACTTCCGTTTCGCGTTCGTTCACGCCGTAAGGTTGCACGAAATGGTGCGAACCGTTGGACAGGAACGTTTATCTCTTTCGCGAATGAATATTTATATCCTGGTCGTCCCACAGCGGTTTCTCGATACCTCGGCGAACGAGGATTACCGGCCGCGCTCTTACCGTACGGTTATCGTTTGGCTATTTTGCAATTCCGCCATTTCTGCCACGAAGCTCCTCGGGGTAACAAAAGCGGGAAGAGGAAGGTGAAAAGTAGAAGGAGAGGTTGGACGGGAAACTAACTTGCCTTGCTGATGCCGCGCCCCATGGCTGGCTGCATGGACCAGCACCGAGTAATTTCGCGGGGTTATTTCTGGAACGCGTGGTCTTCTCATTCGAAAACGGAGAAACTTTATAATCACCTAGTGTGTGTGCGCGCACTATTCGTTCTCCCCTTTCTTCCATGTTCGCCACCGACGACGGTTCTTTGTGATCGCGATGCGGCTTCCTTTCCACACACGTCGTTCAATCCATACAGTATTTGTTCTCGATGCTATTAGTTGTAGACAATTCGCAGGTGTTATCCTCAACGGAAACTTTTCACACAGCTGATTGTTATACAATAATTAAGTTTTGATACATGAATTGAAGATTAATGCTTGTTTCTACCAATGTAGATTGTAGATTAACTTTAATTTTGGTTCAAGTTACACTCTTTATTTTTTTCTAATTTTTAGAACTAGAAATTAATTAATCAAGATTAAAATTAAATATAAATAAGTAGTAGAAACGAGTATAAGTCATACTGAAAAGGATGTTAAAAAGAGTTGATTCTGCCCAAGTGGGTGTAATAAAAGGAATATAGTTTTTTTTAAATACATTATGATCTTCGTTTGAATATGATATCAGAAAGTTTACGGATTACCGCTCTGTCTTTATCCATTGCTATATAATGCTAAACTATTAATTTCTCACTTTAAAAATTGAATTTTCAATTGTTGTCTATTCACTGTTTTTGTTGGATTTTCTGTACAACGGTCGATTTAGCAATTGCAATCCATTAAAGAGTTAAAACAATCGTATTTTCTTCAGCTTGTCTCCCACCTGTCGTTAAAAGATGTCCTGTGGCTTCGCGACGACCTGCATATCGATGGAAATTGCGCGCGTGTCTTTTCCGGCGTCGTTCTTGGCCGTTCGAACGAATGAACTTTCCATTTTATTCCGTACGGATAACGGAACCGACTTTATTTAAATCCGCTCGGGTTTTTCGTTTCGCTTCGGTCCAGATGTCGGCCGTCGCAATGAGATCCTAAATAGAGCCACAAATTGACTGTGCGAGAATGCTTAATTTCCGCGGCGCGTCGGTATCGATTTCCCAGACGCGACGCGACGCCGATCGCGCGTCAGCTCCAATCGACATCGACGAATCTCTTTCCGATAAAATTTACGGTGTTAGGCCGGTCAACGCTCTACAGACTGTGAAAATTTGTGGGTGACTTGGTCACCCTTAAAGGCCCGCAATGAGACGTGTGACGTTTATTACCGCGTAAAAGGCGGTTCCAGCTATGAACGATAGCGTGTTTGCGAACCTCGGCCGTAAAAGACGTTTATTATATCTGGACGGATTCCCGTGAAAGGAATTTGTCATTTATGAAACTACAATTTAACAATCTGATGATGGCTTCAAAACTTTGAAATCTGTAACAGTTCTTTAATTCGCAATCAAAGAATCTTCGAGAATCTATAAATCAAATAAGCTACTAATCTTAATACTCAAAATTTCGTGCTTAAATGTAAAATTTTATAATTTTAAATTGCGTCCTACATCTTAAAAATATATCAGAAAATAAGAGAAAAAGGAGAAGTCATTAATAATGAAAACAAGAAAACTTCATAACGAAGTTTTATGATTACCTTGCGACGCGATTCGATAATCTTATTTTATTTTAATGAGAAATTAACTGTGTATTTAATTAAGGCAACTATGCCGCCTTAATTAAGTTAAATCTAAATCTAATACCATTAAAATATAAAATACATAGTTTTTAGAGACATCCCGCAATATTACATATGTCACGTAAATAGTTAAAATCTCATTTTTATTGTTTCATTATTTTGCTTTTGATATAAAGTGATATAAAATAAGGCAGTAATAAACAGATGGATATGCTGCTATGATAGATTAAGATAACATTTATTATATGTATAATAAATATAGCTAATAATTATTAGCGTGTTTTCTTATTAAATACATTTTTTGGATTTATTATATGTTATGGAATTGTAATACATTTATTGTATCCTTCATTTATGTTTATTTGTTATATATATTGAAAAAATTCTTAAATATATATACTATTGCTTTTGGCACATCAATATAATATTATAAGTAACATTTAATTATTAAATACATTTTTTGGATTTATTATATGTTATGGAATTGTAATACATTTATTGTATCCTTCATTTATGTTTATTTGTTATATATATTGAAAAAATTCTTAAATATATATACTATTGCTTTTGGCACATCAATATAATATTATAAGTAACATTTAATCCTGGAAAGAAATTATAATAGAGAGACTAAATGTATAGAGTTCAAATTCCATTAAACATATATTTAGGGAAAGGATCGAGAGAAAAATAAAGTAACACACCCCTACACCAGTTTTTCTCGATTATGTTCTACACTACAGATATCAGTTTTTATTTTATTATATTATAAAATGCAGAAATAACAAATATCTTTCGGTCGTTATAAATCTATAATATATTATTTTATAAAAACATCCGTATTTTAGTTACAGTTTTGTCTGCTTTCTCATTTCCCTTGTTTTTTCATTATTTATTTCCATAAATGTTAAATAAAAAATTTGATTTAATATTTATTTCGACACTAAAGCTTTGCCTAAATTAAAATCAATATATTATACTTTTATGATGTTTTCAGTTGTTTTTCCGAAAATTTTACCTCTGTATAAAATGATTGGCAAATATTAATAAATTTGTTATATGTCAAACAATTAATAGATATATCTCTTGTAATTGATATTCAGGCATATAATAAAAGACTAAAATGTGCCAATAAATAACATCGAACTTTTTTTTACAAGTTTGTGAATTTTTCTATGCACAATAAATTCATTAATTATAGTCCAGAATGAAATATTTATTAATCTTGATTGATCTGCTCTAGCTCATCCATCTTAAAGTAATGAATCTATATATGCTTTTTATATACATATATAGAATTTATATCTTACGATACAATTTTTACGTATTCATTACTTTACATTAAAAAGATTTAATTATCACTCACCATTGTGGAGTTGTTGTAATTACGTTGCATCTACGGTGATCTGTAAAATCTAAATACATAGAATTCAAATTATAGTAACAATAAAAATAATTGGTATTTTAAAAAATTATCACGCGTATTAAATGTTTTATCTTTTAAATAACTGAAATAATTATACATTTAAAAAAGAATTTTTAAGTGTAAGTATTTATGACTGTTTTTTTTCTAATTCTTATATTTATTTGAGTATAGGATTTAAGTTCTAAAAAAATATTAAATAATGAATAAATAACAAAATTACCTCATACTCTTTCTGCCATCATTCGATGCCTTTCCTTGGCTTCCTCCTCCTCCTCTTAAATTCTTCTTGTTTAACAACACTTAAGACAATCACACGTAATCACCATACGACAGTCGTGCATCATTTTACACGGCATTTTCGACATTAATCGCATCCGATACACGATTTATTACATTCCAATGAAAGAATAACGCGAAAGGATGTAGGACAAAAGATTATTTTCAATCCATTATTTTGCATCCGCAATCGAGATTTTGTATCATTCATTTTGAAATCTTACAGAACGCACAATGTATTAAGAAATCAATACTTCAGAAATCGTAGAAATTATTTCCGGATCCAATATTATTACTTTTCGATTTATCGTAAAATAGAATCGATATAAGGATATTTATATTTATTGTTAACAGAAAAATATTTTACTTTTATAATAAATAGAAAGTTTTTAAATTTCAAATAAAATAATCTTGGATATCCGTTTTATGCTACATAATATGACGCTAGTATCGTGTATTATAATATTAAGTAAAGATTTATTTTAAAGTTAAGAATAAAATTTTAAATTTAAATTTATGTATAATTTTATATGCAATTTATTTACTCTTGTCTCAAATAATAAGTCAATTTTATTTAATTTGAGGGAGGAAAATAGAAATTATTATAATCGTAATATTGTTTTATTTTTATACTGCATAAGTTTGCGATAAGATTAAGTGTTTCAAGAGAGAATAATAATTTTATGTCATTATCAGAAATCCTTTTCTCGAGAAGACAGTTAATTAGTTAATACTTCACTTCCGTTATTTAAAGATTATGATATCTTATAACGATTCGTTTTCCACGTTTTCAATTATGGTGAATGTTAGTCAAATTACATCCATATCGTCTCGAGTTCCTCTTCTAATGAGTTAATCGGAGTATTCGCTTCACTGTGAGTGACCATCGCCTCTATACATCTACGATCGTTAAGCGCGAAAGTTAGCACAATCACGCAATCTGATAATCGCTATGGTACTCGTAGAAAACGACCGCTACTTGTCGTGCCTATGTCTTGATAGGTAAAGGCTTGTGTAGATCAATTGCAACACGCAAAACGCATTCGTAACGCTTACCATAATAGCCAATTAGAAGCCTCAATGATACTGTTGATTGCTTCTGATTGGCTGTCGCGACAAGTTACAAATGCGTTTTGCGTGTTGCAATTTATTTAAAATCTGTTTTCTATGGCTGATTTATTGTACGCTTTTGAAATTTAAAGTGAGATAGATTTGTGTTTGATATTTAGATAACGAGAAAGTTTTAGTACAATTTAATACTTTTGGAATAAAAAACAAACTTTTACACGAAAAGAATGATTTTAGTATCTAAATAGTATCTAAAAATTTATCTAGATATAGATCTGAAAATAAATTTGTTGGATCTTTAAAATAATTACGTAGGAATTTCAAATATAATGATCAATGTTTTGACATTTGAGCAATCAGTTTGAGCGTTCTACACAATTGTTTTAATGGTCCAAGGTTATTTTTGGATCTGTATTTAGCTAAATTTTTTAATATTTTAGCAAAACCATATATCCTTTCCGTGTTCGTTCTGTTTCACACATGATGTGCACGGTGTATCATTTTATCCTTGTTATATTCATCGAATGTTAAAAAAGGATGAAACTATCATGCGCGAAACAGAATGCACCCCTAGGGTGCATTCCAAAATTTTACTCTGTCAACTCTGAGTAGCTTTTATCTTTGTTCAACATTCAGTGAACAACAAGGATAAAATGATACTTGAGTTGATAAAATCGAATTTTGGAATGCAACCTTAGACACGAGAGTTGCCTTAATGTGTTGTTATGTGCGGTTCACGCCGTTGCGTATCTGATTGAATCCAACCCCCGCGCGGGATAACCCCCGTGCGATCTTTCGCAAATAAATAGCATTGGCTACATACGATGTGCAAAAATAACCGATTCATCACCATTACACAATATTTTACAATGCATTATAAAATAAACAAAACAAACGTGTACTGAATATTCTACCTCTATCTCTCGGATGAATTTCGAACACCGAGAACTAATAAAATGTAATATTTATTTGAAGATTAAAATCTATTTTATTAAACTGAAGGTATTTATGTAAATTAACTTATTTTACTATTATTATCGTCAATGTTTTATTGAATGTAAATATGACGTAACGAATGTTATTAAATTAAATTGATTCTCTGTTTATTAATTCTCTGGAGCTGACGGTAGATCTATTGGGCTCTTTTAATTATAAATTTCTTTATTAAAATGTCAAACAATTCAATCTTCGTTATGTTACATTAGCAAATTTGAATTATTCTTATTAAAATGTACAGAAGAGTACATATTGTATGCAAATAATAATTATTTGTTTCAAATATTTCAAAAGTTTATGTATCCGCAAATCTGTCGTATTCATCACAATCATTAAATTTATTCAAAATATATTCTGTATCCTGATAAGTTTAACATTTCAATCAAGACTTAAATTAAACAAATGCTCGATTTGTTTGTTATGTAAAGTCTCTTTTTCGATCAATTTTATAAAATATTCTTCGAAAGGAAGTAAATTTTTATTTTGAGTACGTATTAATGGATTTTTCTAAAATTTGTAATAAGTATATTTTAAGATTATATTACATTGAAACACTCATTTAGTTGAATTAATTTCTTGTTTGGATATGGGTAAACAAATCCTTAATTGATGAGATAAAATAATTTAGTTGAAACAAAACATTTAATGATTGTAACATTTTACTTGTTTTTGATAGATAAGTTTATCGGATATCAATGTTTATTAGACACATCATTCAAGTAAAATGTTATAATAATCAAAGGTTTTTATTTTAATTAAATTATTTTATTGCATTAACCAAAGATTATTTGTACTCTACAAACAAGAGATTAATTGTTTCAAATGATTTCCTCAGTGCATCAGGCAATATTTATTGTTAAAGATAACTGTTATTTAAAAGGAAGAAAGTAAATTGAGTAATCTTTTTTTAGCCGTAGAATTGTTCTGTGTATATTTGTAACTAAAATGTATCCATTCTTTTTTATATGAGTTACATATGTTATTTTGTTTCTGTAGACATTAATTAACATAAATTAAATATAGATTTTATAGAGAAAGCATCTGTAAGTGTGTTACAGATTTTGACGTCAACTCCAGAAGGTTAAATTGCGTCGCGTTGCTCAAAGACTGGTTGGATTCTTTCTCCAGAAACGTGACTATAAAGAAATAAAATACGATTCTTAGAAAATCCCGGACTTTCGGGAAATTCAGGATTCGAAAGAATTTTGGAATATAAAGCACACAGAAATCAACGATCTGATAAAATTCTAGAACCGTAAGATTCGAGGATTTGAATATTAGAGATTTCATTGCAACGACGTCGTTATTTAAATCGGTTTCGCATTCCGTTGAGCTTTGACTTTGTTCCAACACACATGCGACACGTTTATTTTCTCCTCCTATATTCGAACAAAATCATAGCTTACCGTAACACACCGTCCGTCTTCGTAAAAGTTTCCGCTTTTCGGTCGCATATGCCGCGGCATTACCATGCGTCTTGCGCGTTCAGCGACATTATTAAATCGTGAATTCTTGTAGAGCTTGTGATATATATACATATATATATATATATACATATCTGCCACTCTGCTTGCCGTTACGTCACAACCTGACGACAAAAATGAGGAAATTCATGCTCGGCGCGAATTCGGGGTCGAAACTTTAGTCTCGGGGGAGGATTAGGCTGCTTTACATGTATCGATTTTTCGTATTAATATGGATCCGCGTTTTCTCACCCTTGTTCGTTTGCTATTCTGTTACAGAACGAAGTCGGCAGAGTGCGAGGGAGTGCCGTGCTCGCAAGAAGCTGAGGTATCAGTACTTGGAGGAGCTTGTGGCTGATCGAGAAAAGGCGGTGCTTGCTCTGCGGAAAGAGCTCGAGATGGTGAGTTACATATTCGTAACCCTTCTATAAACGAATGAGAATTGAAAATTTTTTAAAAAAATCCAAGATTTTCTTTTTTAAAAAAATCAACGGTCGTTTATTGTGACAAATAAGCTGCGTGTTGCAATAGTAAGATGAATGATAAATGCTTGCAAATAAATTACAGCTTGTATTAATAAATTTTGTTAGACTTGAGTAGTCTACAATTGGCAGAAAATGTGAAAATATTATACTTTTTTTTCTAAAACTTGAATGCACTTCTTCCATAGCGGAAGTATTCAGAAAAATTATTATTATTATATTGTTAGTGTTACACACATACACATATTTTAATATTTTAGTTTTAATAATTTTCTTTATTCTTAAATATAATCGATATTTTATTAAAGTAAAAAGTTTGAAGTTTAAAGATGAATAGGAATTTCGATATTTATGCTGACATTTATTTTGCGAGAAATTCATGAGTTTCAATAACTTATAGTTTCAAAATTATTAGCTTATTAATAGCTAATTATTAGCCATATAATTTTAACAATAGCAATTTTTATATTTTACAAAGCACTGCAACACTTGGAAATATCTTATATATTTATATGAATCATTGTTTGTAATTATGAGAGAAATCAAAAATTCTAAAAATTTATTTTTATCAATTTTTGATTAAACTATAGGTATCATAATAAAATCGAACATAATAAAAACAAAATCTATAATACATACGGAAGATCTCTTTTTTTGGAGAGAAAAATATGTGTTTTAAAGTTCTCTGAATTAGTTATATCTCGAACATAAAGCAAAGCAAATTCTTCGGAAGCTGGAGAACCTCGAAACTTTTTCTTTTCCATCGCCTTTCTCATCGTCTTCCTTATCGTCTTTCTTAAACCTTCCCTCGAAGTGCAAACTAAGTTACTCGCAAAAGTGTAAAGTTCTGGCGGAATACAAAGGTTCGCTCTTTAGCAATACTGCTAGCTTTGTTTTGTCTTGTCGCAGAAAAGCACTCGTATTTGTCAGAATTATTTAAGTACTTGACGCGATTGTTCGATAATTTATTTATTGTTATGATAGGAAATTCTATAATAGGAAATTTCACACAAATAATTTATCATTTTATATAAAAATTAGCGTTCTCTTTATTCAATTGTGATCTATACGTAAAAAAATAATGTTTATATATTAACAGCATTAGCCAACAACAATCTGGTTGAAAATAATCTTATTAATTTAATCACAGTGTCAAATAATATTTTATTAAAACAAGAGCATGGTATATTTATTTTATTAATAAAATTATTTTCAATTAAACTGTCGTCGGCTAATATATTATTTTTTCCGTGTAGCAATGAATCTGAATGAAAGTTCAACGGTAAAATGGTAGAGAACAAGGGCTTGCTTATAAAAAAATCTCAAAATAAAGAATTATTTATTTGTTGATTAATTGCATTCATTTTCTTTGTCTTTTTCGCCGTACGGAAATGTTCGTTAACAACGTGTACTGAGAAAATTTGATGTGTTGAGGTTATTTACCTATTTATTCTGCCGTCGATTATTGCGAGTAAGAGAAGCAGTTGAAAAATCCTGACAAGAATCCAGCATTCTTGCATATCCATGAGGCCATTCCTAAGTCCTTCCACCGAAGATTTCCAGCATGACGGTTTAGTAAGAACAAGAACAGACTGGAGAGACGGAACTTACGTACTTTACATACCACCGTTTATTTTTCTACAGTATCGTCAGTGGACTCAGGAATTGGACGCCGGACGAGTCCCCGAAGGACTTCAGGCGGTGCTGGAAGAATTCGGCACGCTGAAGCAGGAACAGTCCAGCAACAACTAAACAGCCAAGGAGGCGAGGAATAAGGAAGTCACGTGGATCGAGCAATTTCGTTTATCTTATTCCTCTGATCGAAACCCCCCCTCGTAGTCGAGCTTTCTTTCCGTCTTCTCTTATCTCTCTTTCTCTTTTACTGTTCTTCGAGGCAATAGGGAATAATTGGCTGTCGAATCTGAAATTTTCTCTTTTACTTTGGGTACTTTGTACCCGTGATTCACTAAAGGAACCGCGAAAAGTGGATCCTTCCGACCTTTTTGAAAATTCCTCCCTCCTGTTTTTCCTCTTAATTCTCTCGCCAAATGGCGGAATCGTTAGCCCTGATTACCTCGTTACCTCATCGTGTTACCTTTTTTTATACGTACATTTTGTTATCGCGACTCGTTACGTTGACACATATTTTTTATTCTCGTTGATTAAGGACATTGGTCGGTTGTCTACGGCCTCACGTTTAAAATGTACCTCTTTCGCGTGATCATTGCGATGTAAGAAAGTAATTATAGATATGTTACTGTTGACGCCTCGAAGGGTAAAAACGGTCGTTGTATATCGAAATATATCTATATATTCACTATTGTTTGTTTGAAAAGAGCGTCGTTGCGAGATTTCCTCGTTAATCGTTTATTGATTCGTTTGAACTTTATCGATAGACAGTATTTCTTGTACTGCAGAGAATTCATCGTTTTGTACAAATTACGCCATTACAATGATTGATTTATATATGTGTACGGAAGAGTCTGATAGTCGAATAAAACCAATATTTTTCGATGAAAAAAGCCTGCTGACGTTCACCGTTCCTTGCTTTCCTGACTTTCTTGTGTGTATGAGAATTAAATATCATAAATCTCTTGAATTTTTTTGAATTTCTTAAAAAACATTTGCGTTCATATTAAAATAATGATTTTGCTGAAGTATCTTAAAATTTATTATTTAGCTATTTACAGATCTGGAAATAATTTTATTTCGACTATCAAAATAATTATGTACCTATACACAAAAATATATATTGTACGTAAATAGTAATAATTATTTGTTTCAAATATTTCAAAAGAATTTATATATTCGTAAATCTATTATAAGTTCATCATAAGCATCATATTTATTAAAAATATATTTTGAATCTTGCTACTTCAGTCAGAATTATTAAATTAAAATAAATTCGATTTGCTTTTTATATAAAGTTTGCTTTTTATATAAAATTATATATACTTTTTTGATCAATTTTATAATATTCTTTAAAAGAACATTTAAAAGAAATTCTTGTTTTGAATACAGAATGATTTTTCTTAAAATTTGTAATATGAGTACATTTTAAGATTATTTTTAAGAAAATATTTTGTTTGTTAGAAAGAATTTTATTCCTGCGCAGATCACGTAATTTTTTACTGCTTAGTCAGACTACTTGGATCGTTTAGTTCGGTCTTTTTCCAAAAATTTTAGAACTCTAAAAAATCTGAAAAAATTCTGGTATACTCTTTCGACATTTAAAAATATGGTTATATGTATAGCAATTATGAACCAAAACATTTATTTTTTTGTATATGTTTAAGTTTGAGACAAATAATTCAAAGTTGAAAAATCGTCTGAATGTTTAAATTTCCACAAAGTCTGTGCAGGGTTAAAATAAAAAAACTAAATTGAGAGTAATCTTTTCTTAGCAATATGTAGAATGATATTTTTTCTGTATGTATGACACTTAAACTGATTGGTAGAATGTCAAAATTTGTTGTAGCATTGTTCAACATGTTTCTTACTTAATTATTTTGATGGTCAAAATTATCTTCAGGTTTGTGTCTATTTAAATTTTTAGACAAAATTTTGCAAAATTGTCCTTTTCGTGCAAAGCGATACACCTTCGTCAACGTTATTTTGAAATCGCATTGTGGACACTGCAATGTCGCGGTTTTGCGCAACGGGAATTTGCATATTTTGACGTGGGTTATATCGGGCCATGAAATCTCTCCGCTCCCGTTTACGTAGATTGCGATACGTCCACGGATGATATCATCTCCCGTGTTCGTTCGATGGTACGTTAAAAAGAAGAAAAAATTGATGAATCCAATATCGCCGTTATCACGATTACATTCGGAAATTTAAAACGAATTTTGTTACGTAATTTGGCCCGAAGCTTTTAATCAAGTCGAGCAGTAACGAGCGAACTTAACATCGCCGTATAGTATGAAGTAATAATTGTGACGATAACGATGTTATAAACGTTGGTATCGATTGAACTGAACAAATAAGAGCATAATCCTTGTACGAAGTACATGGATTGATTTTAATGATATTTTTTATTTTTTGATCCCTAGACGCGAATTATTGCTTGCATTTTACTCACTTAATAGCTTAATGGACGATAAGTGTGTTAAATCGAATTATTCAGATATTTAGCTTTGTGACATTTTGTTATTATTGGAAATGTTCTGTAGTAATTTTTGCACTAGTTCTATTTTTTTTAAAGCTGCTATTGATACGAACGAAGTGGCAGCTAACGTGAAAATGCAAGGATTAAAATCGTACACGCAGCTCGGATAAAATTTTTAGCCAAATATCACATCGCCCATAAATCACCGTCTCGCCACAATGCACGCGAAATCAGACTTTACTTTCCTATTAAGAAAGAAATATCGATTTCTCTACGTTTCTCACGCGTGGAACGTAGGAAAATCTTGCTAGCATATAAAGCGGAAATAGAAAAAAAAAAAAACGAGGGAAACTTATCGTTTTTCTCGCCATGGTTGCAATAAATCAGCGTGTTAGGCGGAGTGTAAAGTTGAAATATTGCTCCGTAAATATCAAATTGTACTAAAGTACTGAGCAAAGAACTGAGTGCTTCGCATTGTTATTAAGCTTGCTACATAGTAGGTACATAATGTACTTCCAGGCACGATGGCCTTAGTTGTGACAGTGTCCGGAGATGATATATTTTACACGTTGTGTCTGAGTACAAAATAATCATTTTCTGGATAAAAAAAGATTACATGAGTCTAATAAATTATAATGCTAATAGTATACTTACTAAAATTTCAGTAAAAGATATGACATTTGCAAATTTTTTAATCATTCTCTGTGATTAAACTATGATTGTTACCCTTCCATTGATCTTGTGGAATGTTGCATCGTTAGCACCCTTTTTTATATTACTCTAGACTGTACAAAAATCCGAGAAAAAGTCTTGTATACTTATGAAAACTTCAATGACGAGTTTTTACTGCTATAGAAATCAGATTGTATTTTACTTATTTTTTATGGATTAAAATTTATCTATCAGAATTTAAAATAAAGAAAAATATCGATTGTGCCTTTAAAGTCCAACTTGGTCGACGAAGAGTTAGAGAGATTTACTGAGAAAAATTTCTTATTAGAAATTAACGATTAGAAAATTCTGATTAATTAGAATTTTTGTTAGCTTAATCAATATTCTAATAGATTTAACCAGAAAATGTTATAATTTATTCGTTTTTAACTAGAATTCCATGTAATGCAACCAAACTTTTTAACCAGTACATATTTGTACATTTTATTCTTACTACTTTGCGTTACTCTATAAAGAGTTAAAATGACATAAATAACTTTCCTACGTCGGACACATAATTGCCTAGCATTTTCCGCGTTGTTCTCGACGGATCTTGTACGAAGCACATTTCTCGTAGATGTTCTGCGAGGAGCATTAGCAACACTTACATAAATCGTAAAAAGCTAGCCCATGTATACATATTACATGTGTATGTGCATCTTTTGCGCCGACAGTTAACGATACGCAATTCCGCGCGTCATAAACCGCGCACATTCAATTTCGCGTTACCACGGAAAACGTACAATTCTTGTTGGATGGACGAACGGACGGACGTGTCGGACGCAGTGTTCATAAACTGTAGCATTGCGGTGTGAAAAAATACCGACCACCACGTTTGGGGACGCGGAAATAAGGAGAAAAAATATGGCTATCCGGCGGAGCGAGGAAATACTTGCGGCCTTCGCTCTTTCGACCCCGTGGGATTCTCTCGCCGCTTACTAGAATTTATTCTAATAGCTCGAAAACGTTTTCGGTCAGTACCTACCTCCCTTTTGTGTTTGGCAAATGCAACGTAATAATGACCCGTGAGATGGTCCGTTGCACTTTGCGTTTCCCGCAGAATATTCTAGACAATCCGCAACTTCAATTTTGATTCTTTGATTAATTTAGAAAATTAATTAAAAATTTTTGCCGTTTCAAAATATCCGGCCACGATTGGCTCTTTCAAACCGCAATTGGAAAAAACAGGGTTTACCTGGAAAAACTATAATTTTGTTAGAATTCCTGTTTTTTTTATTAATCTTCAATATATAGTTTATTCACATTGCTTGTACTGCAATTTATTTCAAAGTTGGATTAAAAAGTTTTCTAGTCTTACCTGAAATTTTGAACAAAAGAATACTTAGGAAATCCAGAAATTGTCAGAGAACTTTTTTACAAGATTTTAGTAAATACTCTGTATAAAATTAAAAAATAAACTAAACTTTATATAGATTTGTTATCTAAAGCTTATTTTTTCAAAACATGTTAATTTCCAGTTTTATCTTCGAATAGAAATTTAAGGGCTAGTTATATTTATATGTAACACTACATGTTTGATATGATAGTAATAGATTCCTTCAACGTTTTCAAGAAAGAATTGATTCCAAATTTGTGATAAATTCTTAAATCTGAGAAACGATGATATTGTCAATTCATCAATCCATCGATTGGCTTGTCTTATTAAAGAGATTGCGATGGACGTATAGTCGATAAAGCGGAAAAGAGAAGAATAAGTAAACGGAAGCTATTTTCCGAGGTGAGCGACGCGCAAAGCCTGAGAACGTGAGCTGAGAAACGAGAAGAAACTCCATCTCCGTCTTTCTTATCCTCCCTTCTTTCCATTTTTTTTTCTTTATTTGCTCAACGAAATGTGCCTTCGAAAAGATGATACGCGCAGATATTATCGCGCTGCTGCGGTTATTTTAAACAGTATTACGCATAAGCAGATCACAACATACAATCTATGTTCTTATAATGTTTCATTCTTTCATGAAGATACTATAAACGCGATATTAAAGTCATTTGCTCATATGAGACATCCAGTTTTTATATTGAAAAATGAAGATTACTTTTGCATTAACACACACAAAGATTATGATAATTTAAAAGATAAAAGTAATTCTTTTCTTTCTAAAAGTATCTTATTTGAAAAATACCAACTTGCATTTAAATAATAGCATATTTTTATATATAATATAAGAAAGAAGAGAAAAGAGGAGAAAGACAGAGAGTATCCCATAAAGACTTAACACTTGAAGGTGGAGAGATTATTTTAAATCGAAAATCATAATACTAAATATCGAGACTATAATAGTTTTTGAATTATAAGCATTTAAAATTAAACGAATCATATCGCCTAAAGTTTTGCGTTCAAGTATGGTACAAATGTCAACCACACCTGACCGTGCAAACTTACAGGCGGTATGATTTGCTAACTTTAAATGCTTATAATTCAAAAACTATTATAGCTTCGACATTTTGGTATAATGAACTTAGAAATATACCATACAGTGTATATATATATATATACGATACAATTATACAGAAAGAACAGTTTTGTTGAAGGTATCTAAAGCTAGATATAAATTTGAAAATAATTTGATTTGAGCCATCAAAATAATTACGTAGAATATTCAAACTAATTGTTAGAGTATTGAGACTTTGTGCACCAATGTTTTAGCGTTCTACATAATTATTTTGATGGTTCAACAAAATTAT